AAAAGTACAAGTAGACACAGTTAATATAAAGTACAAGTAGACACAGTTAATAAAAAGTACAATTAGATACAGTTAATAAAAAGTACAAGTAGACACAGTTAATAAAAAGTACAAGTAGACACAGTTAATAAAAAGTACAAGTAGACACAGTTAATATAAAATACAAGTAGACACAGTTAATATAAAGTACAAGTAGACACAGTTAATATAAAGTACAAGTAGACACAGTTAATATAAAGTACAAGTAGACACAGTTAATAAAAAGTACAATTAGATACACTTAATAAAAAGAACAAGTACACACAGAACAAAAAGTACAAGTAGACACAGTTAATAAAAAGTACAAGTAGACACAGTTAATATAAAGTACAAGTAGACACAGTTAATATAAAGTACAAGTAGACACAGTTAATACAAAGTACAATTAGATACAGTTAATAAAAAGTACAAGTAGACACAGTTAATAAAAAGTACAAGTAGACACAGTTAATAAAAAGTACAATAAGATACAATTAATAAAAAGTACAAGTAGACACAGTTAATAAAAAGTTCAAGTAGACACAGTTAATATAAAATACAAGTAGACACAGTTAATATAAAATACAAGTAGACACAGTTAATATAAAGTACAAGTAGACACAGTTAATACAAAGTACAATTAGATACAGTTAATAAAAAGTACAAGTAGACACAGTTAATAAAAAGTTCAAGTAGACACAGTTAATATAAAATACAAGTAGACACAGTTAATATAAAATACAAGTAGACACAGTTAATGTAAAGTACAAGTAGACACAGTTAATATAAAATACAAGTAGACACAGTTAATATAAAATACAAGTAGACACAGTTAATATAAAATACAAGTAGACACAGTTAATATAAAGTACAAGTAGACACAGTTAATAAAAAGTACAAGTAGACACAGTTAATATAAAGTACAAGTAGACACAGTTAATAAAAAGATTATCTCTGCGCGTGCTGTAGTATATGTATGTTGTTTATGGACAAATGAATCTTTCCGTGAACGCGAATATCTCATTATTCATGCAAGAGTTTGGCTGGGCAGCATTCGGCATTGAGACTTAAGTTGGTCAGCACAAAGATTGCCGAGTGCTGAGCAGTCAAACTCATACAATAGATTAGTTGAGATATCATTGTCTACGGAACAGACTCATGTTTGCTTATACTTTTTAATAATCTTAAAAGCAAATAACAAATCGCAAGTTATACTGCAAAAATAATTCATCGTCTCATCGTCAAGTTCCAAGGAATTACGCATCGAAATTGATGAAGTTAACAATACACAACTTATTTTACATGAAAAAAATGGTTTCAGCTACAATTACACGAATGAGCTATGAAATGTATGTTACTCTGTCAGGTATTATCTAGACAATCCATAAACTCCTAAAAGTACACAAAAACTGTTTACGCCTGTATCTGTTACATGTAAAAATGAAGAACGTCAGTTACAAGATTTAAAAATAATATTTCTATTGCTTTTAAACAGAATTATTCGTGAAATGTGATATTACCTGAAAGCATATACATTTACTAATTCAGTATAAAAGAAGAGTTTGCCTGACATTTTTACGCTGAAGACTAGTTGAAAGACATTTATGGTGAATCAATTATTCATGTTTAGATATAGCGAGAAGCATGTATGTAAAGGTCACCTAATGCGCAGAGCAAAGATTTTAAAAACAAAAATATTAAATTAGAGTTGGGTATTTTATTCACTATATAGCGGAGTAAACAGAGATTTTAATCAAGTATTTGCTGTGCATCATTTCTTTAAATATTTATAACCGAGAACACCATAAAGTTGTAGAATAATACGTTACAAGTGGTCAACGTCTTGTTGCAAGCGGTAAGGTAAAGACATTCGACTTCAAAGAATATCCTAGTGATTGTCGCAGTTTTTTGACACTTCTTTTTTAATGTTTGGGTAGACTTGTGTATTTTACCCTTCTCAACAAGTGATGAAACACTTGTAACAGTATCTATCGATATTATATAAAATTAAAAACAAATTTATAATATTTTCTATAGTCTTTATGTCCATGCCGAAAGTATTGAAAGATAAGGTTGGGTTATGTAATATCTCAACCTCCGTTGATATAAACCTACATTGGTTAAAACCTTCAATGGTATAAACTTCCATTGGTATGAACCTCCATTGGAATAAACCGTCATTGGTATAAACCTTCATTGGTATAAACCTCCAATGGTATAAACCTTCATTGGTATAAACCTCCATTAGTATAAACCTTCATTGGTATAAACCTCCATTAGTATAAACCTTCATTGGTATAAACCTCCATTGGTATGAACCGTCATTGGTATAAAACCTCCATTGGTATGAACCGTCATTGGTATAAAACCTCAATTGGTATAAAACCTTCACTGGTATAAACCTCCATTGGTATAACCCTTCATTGGTATAAACCTCCATTAGTATAAACCTTCATTGGTATAAACCTCCATTGGTATAAACCTTCATTGGTATAAACCTCCATTAGTATAAACCTTCATTGGTATAAACCTCCATTGGTATAAACCTCCATTGGTATAACCCTTCATTGGTATAAACTTTCATTGGTATAAACCTCCATTGGTATAAAACCTTCATTGGTATAAACCTTCATTGGTATAAACCTCCATTGGTATAAAACCTCCATTGGTATAAACCTTCATTGGTATAAACCTTCATTGGTATAAACCTTCATTGGTATAAACCTCCATTGGTATGAACCGTCATTGGTATAAAACCTCCATTGGTATGAACCGTCATTGGTATAAAACCTCAATTGGTATAAAACCTTCACTGGTATAAACCTCCATTGGTATAACCCTTCATTGGTATAAACCTCCATTAGTATAAACCTTCATTGGTATAAACCTCCATTGGTATAAACCTTCATTGGTATAAACCTCCATTAGTATAAACCTTCATTGGTATAAACCTCCATTGGTATAAACCTCCATTGGTATAACCCTTCATTGGTATAAACTTTCATTGGTATAAACCTCCATTGGTATAAAACCTTCATTGGTATAAACCTTCATTGGTATAAACCTCCATTGGTATAAAACCTCCATTGGTATAAACCTTCATTGGTATAAACCTTCATTGGTATAAACCTTCATTGGTATAAACCTTCATTGGTATAAAACCTCCATTGGCAGTCTTTGTAGCTATTTCTAGTCTACTATAATTAATAACGTATGCTATATATTGTCGACACCTGAGGGAGTATTATCTCATTACATTGATGGGTTAGCATAAACATGGGTGTAAACGATGTGATTCATTTCCTAATGGTATATAATGTTCTATGAAGCATCATATGAGATAAAGGTCAGGGATAATTCGATTTTATCGATCAGACGATTATGTACCCTTAGGGCGAGGAAGTTCATTTTGTTGAGGTCACTAACAAGGCTGCTTGATATTTTAGGAGCTGAACTACTTACCGGAAGCTACATTTCCTTATTAGAGTTATCATTCATATAGGGATGCACTTGTCTTCTCACAAGCAAATACGACTTTTCTAGAACATCACTTCACAACACAAAGCTAATTCGCGGACACTTAATTTCGTGGATCAATACAGCTTAAAAATTTACTTTCACATATCTCAACAGTTCGTTAACAAATGAAGTACATATGGAGTAAGCAAAGAAAATAACCCCACACGAAATTTAATTATTTTGCAGAAACAAAAGTCAATAACGTTTTGTAACTTAAAACAAATTTAAAGATCAAATATACAATGCGGAAAATCGTAATAATAAAATTGCTCGGTAATTTGACTTATCGATTCGTTTATTTCAAACCGATTCTCATGGTAAAGACGTGCCATTTCTTCGATTAGCCTAGATTTACATGGCAGTATCTTAGATGAAATATCATCCTGGTGCGTAAACAAAGGTTTTCATTAACTTACCGTTGTCCAAGCCTTGCCTTTGCTTCATTCGATTCGGAGTTTAAAGAACTCTTGTAATGACATGACTGCCCTCTCTTCTTGTTTGAAGAAATATTTAGGTTAAAGTTATCAAATTTTCAGAAAAGAGTCGATGCTGTTAAAACGTTAATTGTAAAAAGTTACATTCTTTGGCCTTCTTATAGCAAGGGATTATATAATCGTCTGGGATAGAAAGCTTTGGAAACAAATGTTAAGTTGGTAGAGTTGAATAGGGTGAGTGACTATTAGAATATATTGAAAATAACCAGACATGAAAGGAAGGCATTGCTGGAAGTATCTTATGTCAAGAATTATCGGGACTCCGCTGTTAACACAACAACTATTATCAAAGTTTAAACAGTAAACTTCATATGTAGACATTTTAAGCTCTTTTGTCAACGGCAATTTTCGGGTATTCAATCACAGATAAACTGATTCTCTAGTTCATCTTATTTCAAAGTTCCATTTAAAGTATTCAAGTTCTGCATAACGGGTGTATACATGAATGTGTGTCAAGTTTTGCGAGGGTGATTTTGAGACAAAATATAGTTTTAAGTATAGGTTGTGATATGATTACTAGAATGCAGAAAATATCTCTCTGGGATGTATGGTTAATAAGATGTACCGTTCTAGCAGAAAATGAGGAGAAAATAGAAATCCAAAAAGTTTTATCCAAACGTTGTGTATAAGGACGTAGAAGACAAATCCTGAACTATATTTCCGGTTTCCTTAAAAACTCAGTACCAACATTTTTACCTGATATATATTTTCAGGGTATCTTGTCTGTCTGATCGTCCTACAATATCAGATTCAGATCCTCTGCTGAACTGAATATTTTACTAAAAAATTTCAGCTATGCATGATAATCAATGAATGCTGACTGTTTAAAATTCAATAACCTGGACTATAGTATATTCTCGTTCCAATATCAAGTGGGTCGTTTGTTGAATCCTAAATCGTTTTATGTAGATACCGTGTAATGTGTTTTCAGGACTTTTAACAAAAAAAAAAAAAAAAACGAAATCAGGATTAAATAGGCCAATAATCTTTAGCATCTTTATTTCGTCTTGTGTTTCATTTAATCATTTCCGTTGAGTATACATTTCCTTGCTTCAAGTCACTCACTAATTACAAGGGTTAATATCACTGGATTTATTCCAAAGTCTCTTTCCAACACTATATGGCTATCATCTCCATGATCGCAATCTTTATTGATATGAAAGTGTGATATAATAGGTGAGTATAGTTTACCTACATAGATATCATATTGATTTAGCAATTTTGGTAAAGACAAAAAAAATTGAACGCCTCAGAACTCGTTGTATTTGAATCAATTGGTATCTGACGTTAACAAAACTCTCCGTTTGTAGTACTCATTGACAAATTTAAATCAAAATCCTGCGTTAATTCTTTTGCTGTGAGAAAACAAATTTCTCGTATCTGCCAGATCGTTCACTCTTGATTCAAGACCCACAATTAATTGACAAGTCTCAGAATAAAGTGTTATCTATAATTTTGTCATAGAATTTTCCAGATATAAATCAATATAAATCATTTTAGAATCGGAGAATGTATCTTCATACCTAACTACCTCTATCTATGAATATTCATATTTATCAAAAGGTAAGCTTTCTCACATCCTGGAGGATTTTTCAATTATATTTATGCTATGACATTTTTTATTTGTGTGGATGCGCGTCAATTCTAATTATTAAACACAATCATATTGACATACATAAAATTAATGTATAGGTAAAGACTGATTATTACGTCAAAATTTACCACAGGTAAAACCATATCACATCTGTGTTTCACAAGTTAAATTCAACTATAAATCGTAAATGTATGTGTCTGTTTCTTATAACATACCTGATTTAAATAAAATTTTCACCCAAATTTATTCACTTGGATAACATTGATAACGAAGACCTATTGAATCCAGAGCGGTTAATAAAGTCAAAATATTGTCTGAATATTGGAGAATAAATGACGTTCATGTGGGAGTACAGATATTCTACACATGATCTCGTCTCCCTAATGTTATTTTGGGGTTGGAGAACCACAGCCTAGCCACGCACTTGCTTTCTTTTTCGGATACCCCGGCAACACTCTTCTGTAGTCATCCACTTTGAAATAACTGAAAATTTAACGTTGGCCCAGTTTTTACTTCAAAACAATATCGACAACATGAGAAAGTCATCTTAGAAACGTTATCATCATCAGACAAACGTTGACAAAATGTAAAACACAGAAAAGATAATTACAAATGATAGACCGATTTTACGGTCGAGATAAATTAATTATTTCAGTTAAACTCGCATGAAAGCATAACATTAATTTCTATATATATAAACTATATTTTAAGAAAATAAAATATCATCTCTCACAGAGCTAAAATCAAGCAACGAGCAATTTTTCAACACATACCTAATAGATTCTTATTTTCAGTACATTCATATGCTATAAAAAGACACAAGAAAATGAATTATTCTGTCGCAAAATCATTGAAGTCAAAAGTTTGATATGATAAAAAAAATGTTTGCATACTTGTGTCCTTTGAAGAAATATGTATAACGGTTGTAACGAATGGCAGCCTCTACATTGGTGGGAACTCCGCGGAAGAAACTCGATATAGGTTTGGGATAACCACGAGGAGGTTTTGTGTATCCTTCCGCCCAAACACTGTACTCAGATCCCTGTTAAAGAATACAGATATGGGTGTGTTTAATACACTTACAGTAAGGAGACAATCAGGCGAGTTCAACGAATTATGAAATTAGAGATTATTAACATGCGGAATATACACATGCACTTGATGTTGTTTTTATTAATAAATTATCGATTTTATTAATAAATTACCGAATATATAAAAATTACGAATCATGGTGCTAGTGCACATCCCCATCCAGATTTTTATATTTCTTTCCATCACTTTCCATTTTCCCCAGTCGCTTCCTATGCTTTAAAACGTATGTCTCTAATACCAAAGACGAAACAGCTGTATGACACAGTTAACATGTTTGCCTCTACTGTATCTAATTTCAAACTTGTATTAAAAGGTGTTGTTCATTTGTTTGTCATTTGTACAGTCTTTATTCGGATTCCTATGAGAATTTCATCATCTGTATTTAATAGTTCCGATGACAATATCACAAAACACACTGAGTAACTTTTTATACAGTGTAAGGACTGTTCGAGTCATGAAGAAATATATATAGATTAAACATCCCACTATTTATATGAATTAATACGTGGTATGCAAAAATTTGGAAAACATGCGACTAAGTCCTAAGGATAGTTCATCCCCTGTAATCATAAAGGATTGTGCTGAAGAAACGCACAAGAATAGCACATATTCAATGCAAACTTATTATATCATATTATTCAAACTGCAACATATAGCTGAATGAACAGTTTCGGCATTACGCCGTAGTGAAATAACCATTCTAGCGAAGTTTATCAGCAATAAGCAATGTAACCGACATACAATTGGTATAAGCAATATATATATATATAGCATCACAATAAACTAAGTTACCTTGAACAAGTAAACGAATCCATCACGCCAAAGAACAGCGGCCTTGGCATTCCTGTACCAGTTGTCTTCCCCTTTGATGACCTTTGGGTACCCTCTGTCTAACTGTCCTCGGGTATACCGCCAAAATCTATAACCTACAAAAAGTTAAAATTTTAAGTAAAATTATTTAATATGAATAAATTCATCGTTAGAGATTTTTATAGCATACGTATTATTTACGAAACATATGTCTTCAACATTTCAAAATCGAATTGTTTCAGAATCAGAAATTACACATTCACTTCTTTTCCCCTTCCGTTTGGACGAGTTATTACAGTAGCAACAGTATAGAATATGCAAACAGTATCTGAATGTATGAAGATTCTTTTTTTTGTATTTCGTCTAATTCTTTCACTATTTGGGAATGTACATCTCTTTCTTACTTTTTCATTAAATTATTATCTTGTACATTCCCTTCGATCAGTTATTGATTTCTGTTTAGACACAGTGTAGGAGCAACCTTTTGACTACATTTCATGACCAAATTAAATCTTTAGCTCTCAATTTGTTAGCCGTAAAATTGTATACAAATAGCCGTTAAACAAAATCAATACCTAATATATCATTGAAATATTTTGGAATGTATTACCACAGTTCTGTCAGTTTTGTGTTGCCTTTCATTTGTTCTGAATAATATCGAAACTTACAAAATACGATTGATTGTTTTGAATCCATATATGGAATATATACAAATTAAATATCGTTTAAAATGATATGACGTCATTCCAGTAGAGCGTTAATAACTAACCTTTGAAGAAATAAAGTCGTTGGTTTCTCGCTTTGACAATAGCCCCTGGGTTTTTCGGTGCTTTCTTATATATTCTCCGGATGTATCGCCCTCTCTCGACACCATTGGCGTTCGATCGAAACTTGTAAACCTTAGTTCCTCGTACAGCATAAACACGACGATCGTCTCCTGTTTAAACATTAAAATAAAGTCTACAGAAACCAAGGGTCCTTTTCTTGTTTTACTTTTACGCCAATAACGCGGTAACTTTTCGTTTAATTATAAGCAATATTTTCAAGATTGTGTAGAAGACTGTACAAAAGACACACAAGTGAATGCCACGTTTTAATAATTTATAGTTAGATAGCAAGTTGACGTTATTTCTGTTTTAGTTATGAAAAAATAATCATGCATATTTAGAAGTACTTTTAACTGCAGGAAGTAGATTGAATCGTCACCTTCTACGTGACATGCTATCAAGACTCGAAATGAGATATTCAATCAAAGGTTTTGTGCATGTGGTATAAAAAAAACCATCAAAGCATAATATATTTACATCACACAGAACATGTTATATTTACATCATACAGGACGTGTTATATCTACATCAGACAGGACGTGTTATATCTACATCATACATGACATGTTATATCTACATCATAGAGGACGTGTTATATCTACATCATACAGGACGTGTTATATCTACATCACACAGAACATGTTATATCTACATCATACAGGACGTGTTATATCTACATCATACAGAACGTGTTATATCTACATCAGACAGGGCGTGTTATATCTACATCATACAGAACATGTTATATCTACATCATACAGGACGTGTTATATCTACATCATACAGGACGTGTTATATCTACATCATACAGGACGTGTTATATCTACATCATACAGGACGTGTTATATCTACATTATACAGGACGTGTTATATCTACATCATACAGAACATGTTATATCTACATCATACAGGGCGTGTTATATCTACATCATACAGAACGTGTTATATCTACATCATACAGGACGTGTTATATCTACATCATACAGGACGTGTTATATCTACATCATACAGGACGTGTTATATCTACATCATATGTTATATCTACATCATACAGGACGTGTTATACCTACATCATACAGAACATGTTATATCTACATCATACAGGGCGTGTTATATCTACATCATACAGATTATGTTATATCTACATCATAAAGGACATGTTATATCTACATCATACAGGACGTGTTATATCTACATCATAGAGGACATGTTATATCTACATCATACAGGACGTGTTATATCTACATCATACAGAACATGTTATATCTACATCATACAGGGCGTGTTATATCTACATCATACAGAACATGTTATATCTACATCACACAGAACATGTTATATCTACATCATACAGGACGTGTTATATCTACATCATAGAGGACATGTTATATCTACATCATACAGGACGTGTTATATCTACATCATACATGACATGTTATATCTACATCATAGAAGTGTTATATCTACATCATACAGTGTTATATCTACATCATACAGGACGTGTTATATCTACATCATACAGGACGTGTTATATCTACATCATACAGGACGTGTTATATCTACATCATACAGGACGTGTTATATCTACATCATACAGGACGTGTTATATCTACATCATACAGAACATGTTATATCTACATCATACAGGGCGTGTTATATCTACATCATACAGAACATGTTATATCTACATCATAAAGGACATGTTATATCTACATCATACAGGACATGTTATATCTACATCATACAGGACGTGTTATATCTACATCATACAGAACATGTTATATCTACATCATATAGGGCGTGTTATATCTACATCATACAGAACATGTTATATCTACATCATAAAGGACATGTTATATCTACATCATACAGGACGTGTTATATCTACATCATAGAGGACATGTTATATCTACATCATACAGGACGTGTTATATCTACATCATACATGACATGTTATATCTACATCATAAAGGACATGTTATATCTACATCATAAAGGACATGTTATATCTACATCAGACAGAACATGTTATATCTATATCATACAGGACATGTTATATCTACATCATAGAGGGCGCGTTATATCTACATCATACAGGGCGTGTTATATCTACATCATACAGAACATGTTATATCTACATCATACAGGGCGTGTTATATCTACATCATAAAGGACGTGTTATATCTACATCAGACAGGACACGTGATATCTACATCAGACAGGGCGTGTTATATCTACATCATACAGAACATGTTATATCTACATCATACAGGACGTGTTATATCTACATCAGACAGGACGTGTTATATCTACATCATACAGAACATGTTATATCTACATCATACAGAACGTGTTATATCTACATCATAGAGGGTGTGTTATATCTACATCATACAGGACGTGTTATATCTACATCAGACAGAACATGTTATATCTACATCATAAAGAGCGTGTTATATCTACATCATACAGAACGTGTTATATCTACATCATACAGAACGTGTTATATCTACATCATACAGGGCGTGTTATATCTACATCATACAGAACATGTTATATCTACATCATACAGGACGTGTTATATCTACATCATACAGAACGTGTTACGTGTTATATCTACATCATACAGGACGTGATATATCAACATCATACAGAACATGTTATATCTACATCATACAGGACGTGTTATATCTACATCATACAGAACGTGTTATATCTACATCATACAGGACGTGTTATATCTACATCATACAGGACGTGTTATATCTACATCATACAGGACGTGTTATATCTACATCATACAGGACGTGTTATATCTACATCAGACAGGACACGTTATATCTACATCAGACAGGGCGTGTTATATCTACATCACACAGGACATGTTATATTTACATTATGTTATATCTACGTTAAAAATAACATATTACTGACTCATTATTTCAGTTTTATTCGATTTGGTCTGTGTAATGGTTTAGTTAGTGGGTGACAAGAATTGTGAGGACATATCAGTCGATGACTTTTTGTGAATCTAAGATAACAATTGACCTTCTTGAGATCGATTTATATTCCTCAGCGGTGAAATGATACAGTCTATAAGAGTTAGTTACCGGTAAAAATGTCGTCAAACTTTAGACTGCAATCAGTTCCCTGCGGGGCAGTAGTGGTAGTTGGTCTTCTTGTCGGGCGTACGGTTCGCCTTGGAGGACGTGTGGGTGAACCACCGCTTGTGCGAGCACCTATCAAATTACCAATTAATATCATAATATGTACGTGAGATTTGGAGACCTTGTCGGTATGTACATTATAAAATCCAACAATTACTACCAGAATGATATTATGGCAGATTCAGTGGTAGACTGGCATGTGATTTTCAAAGCATCACCCAATGGGTGATTCATCAGTTGATAGTTCTGATTTTAATTACCGCACGTGACGATATTTGAAAATCTAAACAATTTTCTCTAGTTTTCAATCAATGTAGATATTCAGAGCCGTTCAATATAAGACACCGCTAATCTTACTTCTTCGAACAAGACATGTGAACAGATGTACCAGTTCTGATGATTTGGGGTAATTTTGTAATGGAAACTGTGTTCCTGGCTTTCATCAAAAGTTGGTTGAATAAATTTTGATATATTCTACTTTTCTTCCATATTTTCACTCTTTATTCTGTTAAATCTCCAACCAAAGTTTGATTATGGCACTGTCACAATATTTATATGACGTAACTATTTTGTGTTTTCCCAAAGAAAATGAATTTGTTGCAACCAATATTGCATGGACTCTAGGCTATTATACAACTTCATCCAAATGCTCAAAAATGTATTTTAAGTCCTTACCCTTAAAACGACGACCTGTCAAAGATTTAATACAACAACATTATCACACATTTGTCAACACTCTCCTTTGTTAATTTGTATGTACAATAAGAGGTATGCGCGTTACCGTAAATGCTCTGGATAGCCTGTATGTCGTCGTTGGCCAGCCCATAGTTAGGGTCATATCCAGCATAGTACGGAGCCATTAAGGCCCCTGGTACGTTAGAATGACCTATTCCTAGAGCGTGACCAAACTCGTGAGCCGCCACGATCTCAAGGTTGGTACCCTCAGATGTTCCGAGCGTCCATTGCTCTGAGTCATCAAAATGAGTGTCTCCGGAAATGTCTCCGGAACCGGGGAAGAACGCATGCGCTAGAGTGCCTCCTGTAAGAAACGAAAATTGAAATTGAAACTGTCATCGAGTTTTACACATAATAAGGGAGAAATGTTGAAGAGAAGAAAAACAAACATTTTAAACAAGGATTCGTACGAATGAATCGCACCTTTCAATATGAATTGAGAAACATTTACCTTAAATACCGAATATTGCCTGAAACTCCAGCAAAAAGATGTTCTTCACAAAAGAAGTCTTCCTTGATGACATAGCAAGGTAAAAAAGTATCAAGCCAAAGATTTCTTTGAGAACATCAATATCGATTTGGGGAAAAAAAATGTTAAAATAAAAAAGGGGAGATGAATCAATCCCATTTAATTTGTTTTCTTTTGATATCTTGAAACAAAATATGTAAATGGAACGGGATCTCTATTTCAAAGGTTTTAGTTATAGCATGCATGTTTATGGCAAAACATGAAATAAAAACTCCTCCGTAAGAACTCGTCATCCTGCAAATTTCCATACATTATTTAAAAGACAGGTGAATGAAGCATATTAAAATTAATCTAAAAACAGATGCTGAATATTAAGAAAAACTCATCAGTTTACCTCGTCGATCAAATGGATAATTGTCCCCATGATTTCCCGTGCCGTAGCTGATCAGAATATCGGCATTTCTTCCGGACACCTCCCGGAAGTTGATATTGGCATGCGCTGACCACTTTGACAACGCATTTGAAATAGCTCTCCTGTTAATAAATCATTATTATAAAAGAGCCCATTAATTTGTTAACTATATAATATTTATGCTGGTCAATTTACATTGAGAAAAAAAATCCCATTATATAAGATTTTTCCATTTGGAAAGTAAAAATCATCAGCTCAAACACAAAAAACAAAAACAAACACATATCCTTGGTGACGAAACTAGGTGCTTGTGACAAGTAAGATTTCCACTACTCCATGAGAACCTTCTACAAACGTTTTAATTAAAGATGGAGGTCTGCAATCGACTTTAAAACTCATTTCTTTTATTTTTTTTATTACTTCCTTGTGATGACGTACCGTTGTTGGCCTTGTTCGAGCTGCCTTGTGTACCCTACAAACGAGTACGTCACCGTCGATTTATCCCATTTCGTTCCTGTAAAAAAAAGTACTCAATTAACTACTGTGTCAATAAAATCTATCAGAGATCACCGAATCCACTGCTGGTGAAAGGATTTTAGGCTGTTAAAAATTGTTAAAATAAGAAATTACACTACAAACTCCGCCATTTTTTTTTATTTGTACAAACATTACTTCGAGGAAAATAATTTTAAAAGTAATTTATATCTTGTGTTTATATAACTGATACAATTCAAATGAATAATCGAAAGGATTAGAAATAAATATCTTTGATCAACTTTAAACTGAAATGATTTTTTTTTATTCGTTCATTGTTCATTGGGTCATTCAACTATGTTGGTCCTAAAGTTTCCCTAGTATAATTTCACTTTGTTGACGGATATCCGCTACCATCAATTGATTTCTGCAGTTAACCAATGAGTGCCTGACAGACTGTACTTAATGTCAATGGGTACGTAACCTAGGTGACGAACCAAAACAATGACGTCCGTTGGGACCCATAATGCATTTGCAGTTTGATGACAACAGAAATATTACAGATCTCTTAAAAAGCTAAACTGATACTTAAGATGATAATTTAAAAAGGAAAAGAACTTGTAACAAGTTTCAGTGATTAGATAGATCTGTTTTAGACTTCGTCAGGTCGTGGAGATAATTTCTTCACACTTCTTACCTGTATCTATGGTGGCCATAGCTTGATATTAAACTCTGACAAACACGGCATCACATATATAGATTTAACCCTGTCACTTTTAATACATAACTTTGTGCAAGGCTAAATTGCGCTCAATTCGGGCATATTAAACAGTCGTAAAACTTACATATGTTAATTAAAATAGTACACAAGTCAAATCCGAAAGAAATTTAAGAAAAACCCACATGGTCGAGCAGATAACTCTATACCTTTTCATGTGCGTTCAGAGAGTCGAACCCCGGACGTGGAAGTGAAAGGCGCATGTGTTACCACTGTGCCATCCGACTGTTGATAAAACGAGAAATTGATTTCTCGTACTAACCTACTGCATAGAACTCGAGAGGTCCCCCAGGCTGTCTTCGTTTCCTTGGAGGGACTAAATCCTTGACCCCACATCTTTCACCAGACATCTTTTTAACGGTTCGTTTGTCTAGTTGTCCGGTCTCTGGTAGGCCAGCAACTTTCTGGAAATGTCTGTAATATACACATACCCTTGGAGTGTTCATTGCGCTTTCTAAATATTCAAAAGTCAACACGTTTTGTTTTGTTTTGCATCAGTATATGGCTTTGTTTAATGGTCTTTTCTGACAGTTTGATCATTCGCTTTATATATATAGATATATATATATCACCAAAATACCGATATGTCAACGGATTACCTAGGTTATGTTCAACATTTTTTTTCAATTTTTAGAAACATGGAATAAAGTACTTTTAAAATGATCTCAGAACAGATATGAGTTTTGTATTATGTGAAATCATAAATTATATTTCATTGGAATCATATTAGCGAAGATTTTCAAAATCATATATTAATCTTGTTTACGTGAATTGTGGATAAAGTGTACACATATAATCAACAAAAGAGAAATCCACTCAAAAAATGAATGATTTTACATTACTACAAAAAACAGAATCAAGTTTCCGATGCTGGAAAAAACACTGTTAGAATGAATTGTTTTGAACTGTGTAATTGTTTATACATTGATATAGATAGTAGTACTTTACCAGGTGTATCATTAGCTATAAATGACCTTCGTGAAGTTTATAGAATAGTATATAAAACATATCCTTTGTTTATAATATGTTACCTAATTGCCCTCTCGCGATCCTCTGGGCTGTGAGCTGTTCCATCCGGCTTAGAAGACGCTTCGTCAAGGTAACCAAAATCTTCGAAAAATTTCTGTGGAGAAAAAAAAAACTTTGCCTAAATTAAAGTACCCGTATTTGTTGCAAGGTTGTAAAATACATGAAGATGATCAGATAATTATGGCGAGGGTTTGTTAATAAAGACAGTCAATAACACTTTTATTCATATCAAGTTTAACTCTACAAAATGTGCATCATGAATTTTATTTTCCCTTCTGTTATTGACCGACATTCTTTCGGTGCTAATAAGTGTGTGCGTAGATCTTACGCAGTATTTCCGTTTTACTCGGTAGGCTCTTTCTACGGAACCAGGGAAGGGACATCGGTAAAAAATGTTAATCCGAGGTCTCGGTTTAGCAATCTGTAGTCTCGATATAAGTAATTCGAGGTCTCGGTTTAAATGATCCGTGGCCTCGGTTTAAATACAGCCTTTATTAAACAATTATACCATTTGTAGATACGTAAAGAATATGCACTGACTGTTTCATTTAACTGAAATAATGGTTTACCTAATGGGTTTGGCAGTGATCGCCCTCAAGTGTCTCTAAATTATCAAAGGAAGTTAATTATCAGTTAAGTTGGACGTCATTTGTAGCTTTCATGGTCAGATGTTTGCATCTTATGGATGAGCATGATTTTACAGTAAAACAGTCTATGGAAATTACTGATCAATTTGCTTAATGGGTACCAACTTCCGAAAAAGGGGAGATAACCGAACTACGAACGCATGTTGAAATATCTATCATGTTGTTTAAGAGGGATAGCGGGTAGATTTTTGTGTGCCCAATGGGGCATAACTTTCGGAAGAGGGGAGATAACCAAATCTGACTGTGCTCCATGCGTTTGTCCTATGATACAGGTATAATCAACGTCAACATGAAATGATAAAAGACAGCATTCTGAACCACAAAGCCACAGAGCCACTAAACCGAGGCCACGGATTAGTAAACAGAGACCACGAATTACTAAACATGGGCCACGGATTGCTAAACCGAGGCTTCGCATTCAAGACCAAAAAAAAACTGATGTCCCTTCCGGGGCACCGTATCTTTCTCATAAGATGATACAGCAATGGTGGACGGATGTAAACTATCGGAAGACTGACAAATAACAACAACATATTGTATATAGTTAACAATAGGTTCAGTTCGATGTAGTTTCAGTGATGTAGACAAACATGTATTCAGATTTCTTCCTTTGAATATCCACACAACACTTAAAAACATTCGATGTACAATATTCATTTATAACCATTTGCATATATAAAATAGAAATAGAGTTATGTTTAGAATACATAATATATCGTTAAAGTTTATGGTAAAAATGTTCTACAAATAACACTGAAATACAAACTCACTACTTACCAAATGAAAACAAAATATAGCTTATACATTTTTTAAAGAAATGGACAGTAAGACAAGCTTTTACAGAAAGGCAATTGTATTCCAATTTGTAGATGACATTCTCCATATATACATATATATAAATATCAAATATATTTAATGGCACGTTCTCTGAATGAGAGCCAAGACATTGACGGCAAACCCAGTCGGTTGTAGAACAAAAATATGGCTTATACATTTTTAAAGAAATGGATAGTAAGACAAGCTATTACAGAAGGGCAATTGTATTCCAATTTGTAGATGACATTCTCCATATATACATATATACCAATATCAAATACATGTAATGGCATGTTCTCTAAATGAGAGCCAAAACAGTGACGGTAACCCCAGCCGGTTAAAGACGCATCGGACTGGTCAAAATGACGGAATGGGAAATAGAACATATGCTTGCTTTGCATTTAATTAAAGCAGTGCTTGTGATGTCATTTATAAACCAATGTGGTATTTTTACTTTCTCATTTAAAGGCAATGTACAAAAAACAGCTTTTCGGCAACATGCACGTTCGAATATGAAACAATACTTGCGCAATCTTATTATAGTTTATCACATCAAACCACGACAATAGTATACAGGTACATATTGGGAATTGATATTGTAATGTCTGTATGACATAAGAAGTGTGTTTTCCACGATAATACCAGCCTAATTGATGTGTTGTGTTTAGTATATTTAGGCATAACGAAGCACGACTATTTTGATTCATCCCTCAGTTTTTTTTATGCTGGAACCAATCTGGCAGATTTTAAAATGTTTGAAAAAATAAAAACTTTAAAATTGTCAGGATACTCATTTTGTTTAAATAACTGCGCTCAACGTCTCCGATAATGTCCAGAATAAGACAATACATTATACGTATATAGCCATAACGGGAATAATCTAATTCTGGTGTTAACAGTTAAACCACACAACGATACACAAGTGTTTTGTTTATTGTTTATTGTTTTTGTTTTTAACGTTCACTAGAGGTCTTATCAACCCTTGAATGAGAAGATGTTTTTAATGTTATTGCTTTGTCTCTGATGTACACTATCCAAAATTAACAAAGATGCTGACATTTCATGTTACTAATGTAACGACCATTGCGAAAACAGGTTTGAAACTTGTGAATCTTTATATAGAGAAATGCCGCTGGTGGCAGACTAGAAATCAGATTTTCACAAAATAACAAGGCACACCTTTGTCGTTAACACACCATAAAAGTGTTTTCGTACATTTCAATATTATCAATTTATTCCCGTCAACGGTATTACGTAACATAAAATGAAATGATGTATCTGTCCAGATTTAAGTTAAAAAAAAAAGATTAAGGAGTTATTTCAACACATAGATATCCTAAAACTTTGATAATTATAATATTATAATTGCGCTGTCTGATTCATAATAACATTCTCAAATGACATTAGATTAATAATGCTGTACATGAGAATACAAATCAGACAGAAGTGAAAAAAAATAAAATAAAATTCATGTTTTTAAAAAGTTCATGCAATAATTACACAGCAAAAAGAATACAATATTATAATTACATCTCATTTAAACAAAACTGTTGATTACTCCAAGATATTGTTAGGTCGAATATCGCCAAGATCCATTTTGTGTTTGTCAGTTCAGAATTACTGTTACATGGTAGTGATAACTTCTCTATTGAAGATAATGTAAAATATGTCAAATCACTCAGCTATATATACTTAACTCTCTCTCTCTCTCTCTCTCTCTCTCTCTCTCTCTCTCTCTCTCTCTCTCTCTCTCTCTCTCTCTCTCTCTCTCTCTCTCTCTCTCTCTCTCTCTCTCTCTCTCTCTCTCTCTCTCTCTCTCTCTCTCTCTCTCTCTCTCTCTCTCTCTCTCTCTCTCTCTCTCTCTCTCTCTCTCTCTCTCTCTCTCTCTCTCTCCCTCTCTCTGTCTCTCTCTCTCTCTCTCTCTCTCTCTCTCTCTCTCTCTCTCTCTCTCTCTCTCTCTCTCTCTCCCTCTCTCTGTCTCTCTCTCTGCTCAATAAAATATGATTAAATAAAAAAAAAAATCAGTATGAGCGATCAATCCAAAATGTTAATAAAAATGAATTTTTGGTTTTTGATGAAATCATTCATAATTCTTATTTGAAAAAAATTGAAAAAGACCCGAGTTACTGATTATAATTTAACAAGCCATATAGATACATAAAGAATAATAAATAATTACCTATTGCTTCATGAATTTCGTTGGAGGGGATGGGTTGGGGAGAGGTCTTATCAATCTAAGAGGTGGTACTATATTACCTTACAGGCCCTTAAACATGATTTTCTAGGACCGAGATTTCCAGGTTTTCCTAGCGTTACACGACAATGGAGACTAATTTTGGGGCTGAAAGATACATTTTGCGATCACGAAATCATATGATTGACATCGTGTTTTATCTAGAAGGTCGACCGGGAGGAGACTCGGTTTTTTGGAGGACGTTTTCAAGGATTCCCTATAAATCTTCTGTATCTTTAGTATAATCTATATTTCACCGAAAGAGATAACGACAGATGAATTTGTACAACCTACCATCTGATACATCTACGTTACATTTCGCCAATTACAACCCAACAACGGTGCTGAAATCCTTGAAGAGAAACAATGAGATGGGCAAGCTATCCTGTCACCCGGTTTACAACCCACACAACACACAGGGCACAAACGCTTCATCCACATGTGTGTAACACACACAAGATCATAAACCTTTCTAAATGTTAAATGGATACAACTCTTCTAGATATAAACATACCACGACCAAATCCATGTAATTTTAGCATGTTCGCTATAAGTTTAGATGCCCTTTGGTGTATGACAATATAGTTTTGATATCAAATCTGCCTTCCTTGTATGTCCCTCCTATGCAGTTGGTCTATTTGGTTACGTTCAATTTAAAATTCGGGCATTGAAGTTACATGTATATCTGTGTGACAATCATCGTCATATTTTTAATTTTATATCCAAAATGAAGTTGATGTTAAAACATATATTGAAATTCAGATATTGTCTTTGACTAATTTTCAAAACGCTTTAAATTGTGCTGTTTATAAAGAAAACTTATTATAGACGATGTATCACTGGTCAAATTTACATGTTCGATTATTTTGCTTGTTCGATTTTTTCCTGCTACTGTTTTAAACTTATACAACTGACACTTTATATCAAATATTTGACAACGTACATTGTAGGCCTAACACACGCAATACCACTGTTGTTTGTTGTTGTTGTTGTTTTTGTTGTTGTTGTTGTTGCTGTTGTTGTTGTTGTTGTTATTTGTTTGTTGTTGTTGTTGTTGTTGTTGTTGATTTTGATTTTGTTGTTGTTGTTGTTTTTGTGTTTTAAGCCCCTATTTGCATTTTTAAAAAATATTTTAAAGCTTAATCATAAATTATTTATTGTGTTTGGTGTTAACAATATCGACGTCAAAAATTCAATAAAGGAAGCATAATGTCGTACCCCTGAAATCCGGACGTGACATCTTTACCATTACCAATAATGGGTTCACACTAATAACCGGACGGTACTTGAAGACACCGTATCGAAACACGTGGTAGACCATCTTTAGTGCTCTTTCATTGTTAAAATTGTAAAAGGTAAAAAAAAAACTCTGTCTTGAACCTTCAAATATCAAATGAATATATTTCACGGAATATTTACATTGTTTACAGTCGGTGTTTGACATTGTATTGTGTATCGTATTAACATTATAATATTCAAATTCACTTTGAAGTGATTTTTTTTTCTTAAATACTAAAAAGATTGTATATGAACACCTCGTCATAATGTTAATATTTCATACTTACATCGGGGCTAAAACTAAGGCAGCAAGCAGCATAGCAAAAGAGGAGTATAATCGCTGATAGTGTCTTCATTGTGTTATGATTACTGTGTTTAACGTCCTGAGGTGGACGGACGTTACAGAGATAATGACCGTTGATCTCCTCAACTTATGCATACACTGTCTTAATTGGGTCAAGTCGTTGTTGAGCCGGACGTTTACACAAAGACATCTCTGTACAACATCCGGAGGATTCTGGTTTGTGAGGCATGATAATGAAACACGAAATGACCTCATTTTGAGTGCGCGACCATTGCGTTGTTTATGACCGACATATCAACTTAACTTCGTGACATTAAGGGTGTGTTTCTTTACAAGGCCTATATTTTCATTATACAGTCTTTTGACAGTTTCGACCATGCTTTTCTTTGGTAAAATCAGACACAAAATAAGTCATTATGAGCCTATAATTGACATCGTTTACATAATTTTATGAACACCAACTGAAGTTAGGATGAGGATAAAATTGTTTTTATGTGATTCAAAAAGTAAAATGGTTTGATAAGGTAAATTGTTTTTCTTGTAGATAATATTTCACGAAACTACCCTTTTTGATATCGAGCAATATCTGGTTTATTTTTTACAAGCTTAGTTACAACGTTCGAAAATTATCGGGCACCTGTTCAATTGTGTTTTGTGTCATACATCAATAAAACTTTCATCATGTTCCTTTACGCATGAATTCTATTTTCATTTTTGACTTATCTGTAAATTTGTATACTTGTTTATCGAGTCATTTCAATAGGCAATGCTATGAAATATATACACAAAGTTTGTTTGAACGTAAGTTATTCCAGGAGACTTGTGCCATTAAATACTGGTCTCTGCAATTTCTACAGCTCATCATTCCAGCGATATCACACATTGTTTCATATTTAACGAACTCAGTACGATATTTTGTAGAAAACCAAGCTGCAAAATAAAACAATATGTTCTACAGATTTTTGTAATTTTTGTAAACAAAATACAAACAAAACCTGAAATGTTAACAAATATTCTGATAACCCAAAATGAAAAAAAATTATCTATATTGAAGATTCCATTATTTATTCATAAACCTTACGAAGTGTATGTGTGGCCCTATGAGGGGTCACGCAAATGATGAGACCAAAAAATGTTAATTCTTTAATTTCTTCAAACGCCGAATTTAAGGGGATAGCATACTTGTTTTTATGCATATACTAGAGATCAGATCATGACTTTGTGTTTTAACACGAGACGAAGTTTAAAATACTGTGATTAAAATATCGCAACCTCAAAAAAAATCAATAAAAAAGGATATGCGCATTTGTGTTTGAAACGCGCCCTCAACGTGTTCGTTCATAGCAAATCAAAACGCTCCTTTCAGCCATTGAATGCGTAGAAGTGACGTGCATTTTGTTGATGGATTCGGGATAAGATATATGTTAACATATACGAAAAGAATTAAAATGTTTCTCTACGTGGGTCAATTGAGCGGCTTCTTGTGTACATCGTCTACCTAAAAACTATAAACTTTATTTATTTACAACAATCGTGGCACAAGTTATTTCAAATTATACTAACCACTCATGTTGGCCCGGATGTAAGCGTGCGAGTGGTCTTATTGTGGGATGAAACCGGTGTACCCGGGGAAAACCCACATGGTCGGGCAGGTGACCCCTTACCTTTTCACGTCCCGGACGGCTAGGTGAAAGGCGAGTGCGTTACCACTGCGCCACCCGATCACCCACCATCTGCCTTTGAATGGCAAATATATTAACGAGCATCGTGGAGAGGCTTCAACCTGTGATGGTGGATCCATCCGATATCACTCCCTTTCTCTCCATCTCCCACTCTCGACTAGGGGATCTCCAATTAAAACATGACTGTCATTAAAAACATGGCCGTGATGTCATCCATTGTTCGATCATGACGTATAGTTGAGTGGTTGGTCGGGTGGCGCAGTGGTAATGCACTGGCCTTTCACCTAAACGTCTGGGGTTCGATTCCTGGAACGAACGTGAAAAGGTAAGAGGTCACCTGTCCGACAACGTGGGTTTCCCCCGGGTACTCCGGTTTCCTCCCACAATAAGGACCCTCGCGCGCTTACCTCCGGGCCAGCAAGAGTGGTTAGTATAAGTTGAAATAACTTGTTTCGCAATTGTTGTAAAATAAATGAAGTTTATATTTAATATAAGAAAGTGAATAAGTGAAGTGAAAGTGAGAGAAATTTACTTTCATCGCCTACTATGTGGTATACTTTGTACCTATTCCACAATAAACCTAAGAACTATTCCACAGTTGAAGGTGAAAATATACAAGAAGTTTTGAAATATAGAAAACATAATGCATCAGGAATTCACAATTAGATATCCAGAGAAGGGAGGTAACTGTATTCTTAATCTGCGTATTTATGATACACTTTGTAACTAATCTCACAGCCCTGGTGTCCTTGTCGGTATAATTACTGTCGAATATGCATTTCTTTGTTGGACTAACTATTTTCAGAATCCTTTTCAATTAAACTTTGCAGCTTTCATCCATATGTTTTGTTTTCCACATCAGACTGCAATACATTACTGCCTCTGTGTAACTGACTTTCATTGGTATAATTGTATTCTCTGGCAACAGTAGACCTGTGGTCAGTTTTTCAACAGTAAGTTGACCATGTATACCTGCTTCAAACAGTCTTGTTGCAGCAGTTGCTCTTAGGCTATGCTTCGTGTAAAAATATGAAACCCATCTCGCTTACACATTGTACTAACTGTTGGGCTTAAAATACATGTATCAACACTAACCGTAGCAACCAGCAATTCGGTCTTGTATACCTAACAGGTCTCATATGCAATACTTTACATTTTCAGTTTTAGGTCTGAAAAAATGTGTAGATAGAAAAAAAAATGTTTTTCGTTTTATATATAAATATTTAATGCAGAGTATGATATATATCTTAATATATAGTTACTGTTTAGACAAATAATGTGATATTTATTGCATGGCATTAAATTGGAGGGGGTGATAAAGTCTACGATTTTTGAAAATTTACCTGAAGGGTTTAAGCACTGTTCATTTATCCTCACTTGACACTGTCTGGTTGTCCTGGGTTTTCATAAGCACAGGTCTGCTAGAGGGTTACTTTGGGATACAACCTCTGTGTACTGACTGAACCTGCGATCATTTCTTTATAAGAGTGTCAGCTGAGAGTTAGGGCCAACTCTCAAGGCACTGTGTTCCAGCCCTGCTCTGAGAGCATAATTAAGTAAGATACTATAGCGTAGAATGTCTTGTAGCTTTTGTGGTGTGTCCCTATCCAGATTTCCAGGAGACCACAATTTATTCTCCTCTTCAAAGGAAATTACAGAAGCTTGGCGTTTCTGTATTCCTATTCTGTGGCCAGAATTTTCACCTTGGCATCCAAAATTCTTCGCATTCCTAAAGTTTTCTCCGTCAAAGCATTTACATTCCGATGTTTTGCACGAAGCTAATATTGAATCCCAACAATAATTTTAATATAGGGCATTCCCCCGGTACTCAATTCTAACTTCCTTATATATCTCTGTTATGAATCTTTCCAAGTCAGACTTAAATTACAGTTGCCCTTCCTCTTCTTGCACATTTTTATCCGATACATATTTTGATCTAATTTTATCAGTCTTCCATGCTTCAAAAAGACGGACTGTCAAGTCCGAATTTGCCATAGTGTTTTTCTTACAGAAGCGTCCATGAGACTTTCAATTTTATAGTCATCCATAGTCTGAAACTGGGGGTTAATATTTTCTTTCTCCAATAGTTGCCCAGCTTCCTGTGTTGCCTTTATATGCTTCTTCTCCGATTCACATGCACTTGATATGTCTGAAAAAACATCACTTTTCAGGTCAAAGTTAGTGCATGTTTTTGCTGGCGTGAGGAAAAAAAATCATTATCGCTGATAGAATCATCCATGAAGAGCAGTGAAAAATGACACTTTATTCATCCGGGTGCTTGTGAAACATTCACCATTTCCGTGTAAAGCCTGATGCTGTTTATAGGTGTCCGAGGGGTACAGATTAGGACCTATCTAGACCTGTAAGGTAATGGAACAATACATTGAATATTCATGTAATAGTTGGGAAGAGACGTTTATATGATACCATGTTTTAAGTATGGGAAACGCTTCACTGTGGACGTTTTCGATGTTGCTTCTATTCTTAATGTATCCGTTCAGAGTAAGTCTACACAATCACAACTTCCGCTGCCACAGCAGGAGCATCCAATCAGAGCAGACTTTGTAAATGTCAATGTGGTGGAAATGCACCGCATCACACTATATGCACACCAGGACTACGGAAAGACCAAAGGGGATTTAAGGGACACTTAATTACGGTACATTTCGCGCTAAACGTAAGATCGCATTACATGACTCATTCGCCACATCACTAAATTGCATATTTCTATTTAAATTTCCTATAAAATCCCGCATGGAAAAATCAGATTTGAATTATTTTTTTATAATATCAAAACAGTTACTTCACGACAGCTAACTCTCTTAGGTACGCTTATTACACCTGAAACGGGAATGGATTTTGTCAAGTATTATTATCAACAGATTCTAAGTAGGATTTATATCCTAGTATCTTACCTTACTGGTAAGCATACCTGTTTTACAATAAGAGAAATCATATTTTTCTAAAGCCAATGTTTTGTCGTAGCTGGTCGCACTTTTCTGCTATCAAGCGACATGTTTACAATTTCTAAAGTTTATGTCGGATGAAGACGCGTTCTTGCCTCCGCTCCAACTTTCATATTCATTTGTTAGTGTTTTTTACGGTAGGGGTTTTAACTGGTTAACTTTTGTATAATATTTGGCCAGTATCGAGCAAATTACACTAAGGGTAGCGCGAGATATTCATGTTCACGGGTACGTGCCTATAAATTCAGGTCCTCCACCCGTGGTCGTGAATAGGAACGGAATTTACCTAGTGAAAAAATCCCTTCGTCTCCCTCTCAGTCCTAACACCGGTCTTCTTGCTGTGTCGTGCTGAATGTTAGATTAGGTATACAGTTAGGAACGGGGGTCGCCTTCTAAATTACAGTTTTTAGATCAGGTCAAGTAGCATAGACGGCCCCTCCCTACCTCATTTCTGTATCCCA